TTGGTTTTTGAAGACACTAACAATTTTTGTAATTTTTACATTAAAACAATGCCTTTGCTTTTGGTCTCAGTCAACAGACCTATGAAATAGAGTTTATGATGTATGCAATGTCACTATTATTGAAAAATCATATTATAATAATTGTCTGTTGGCTGTTGGGCAGTTACTCTAGCAGAGATGGCTTTAAGTCCAGAAGTTGTATCTGCTATTAGTGATGTAAAAATTCTAAGTAATCGTTACAAAGTAACAGTTACTTTACGAGGACTCGAAGTAACGCTTACCATTTGAATTTAGGACTCGTTACTCTACTAAGCTAATTCATTACTTTTGCGCTGGCAGTAATCGTAATCCCTGGAAATGCACGAACCGAGGACTCGAAACTCGATACTGAAATATTCCTTACTTCGACCAAACTTCGACGTATGTCTAGTTGTTATCAATATGTTTATGTTTAAAGTGTCGACTTGACGCCGGCCGGTGTTTTGGATGGCAAATGTGTGATATTTTTATTACAATTATTATAATAATTAGCTTATGCCGACCCGGCAGCGCTCTGTCCCTTTGCCGTTTGTGCTTTTTATTTAGGTAATTCTGGACGTTTTTTCAATTTTAGTTGAAATGAGTTAATATAAGATATTATTTAGGGTAGAGTGTGTTTTATTTTTTGATTTATAGTTGCTCGGTGAACGAAGAATAGAATTGTTGATTTAGATTAATGTCTTAGACATTAATTAAAAATGGATTCACGTTATTCACAAAAAATGTTAACATCTGAAAAAGCAGAGCAAATATTTTTCCTTTTTCCTCTTCAAAAAAGAATAGATATTTTGTTTACATTGTATTACACTTACATTGTATGAAAATCTACAAAATAAAAATAGTAATTTTTAGTAAACACTGCTGGGGCGTTAATCCAAAGAATTTTTTTGAAGAGATGAATGCGCCACAGAGAGGAATAGAGATTTAAAAAAAAATTACATTTTAACAATAATATATGCATTTTTTTAATTTTTACTCTTTAATGTTAGCATAATTATTAATGTAAGGGAGAGAGAGAGAGAGAGAGAGAGAGAGAGAGAGAGAGAGAGAGAATAAAAAAAATACTTTATATTATATATACGTATTTTCTTTGTTTGATTTGTTTTCTTTTAGTTTTAATTTTATTAATACATAGTGATAACATGTCATTATAAAAACATTATACATATTATTAAAAACATATTATTCAGTACTTGAATACCGAGTATTGAAATTATCCTATTAAGCCTTTACACTAGAAGAAAGTAGAAACCCTTTATAGGTTAAACTGTGCACGCAATGTAGTTCGCCGCGCACAATAAGTAACGAAGTTCCAAGTCAAGCCCAAGTCTTCCAACCTGTACACAAAACAACGATTATAAAGTAACGTTGCTAAGTACCAAAGTAACGAGTAACTAAAGTAACTAAAGTAACGAGTCCAAAGTAACGAGTCCTATTACCAAAAGTAACTAGTAGTAACGAGTCCATATAAGTAACTAAAGTTTACATCACTATCTGCTATAGTTGCTTTAATTAGGGTTGCCAACTTTCAAAATAAAAAATAGAGGATGAGAGGGTAAAAAAGGGGCAAAAGTGAAACATTTTTAGAAACCTCGCCCAAATGTCTAGAATTTACCAAAAAGTTATGTCATTGGTATGCGATTGATGATGATCTTTCTTACTTTCTTAACAATATTTATACTCAAAACTTTAAAATAAAACAATTTTTTTTTCATGAAACATGAGCTAACAATAAGTATACATAAAATAAGTTAAACATGTTTATCGCTTCCACAATTTCTTTTAATATATCTTCCAAAAATTCCTTTTTTTTATATACATTAATATTTCTTCGACTTCTTTTCTGTACAAACGAGTAGGAGTAGAGAAAGACACAGATTACCAATTTTTTAAAGCATTGTGGCGATACAGAGATTAGTTAGTTTTTGAGTTTGGTATATAAAAAAGAGGACTTTTCAATACGCGAGAGAATAGAGGAGAGTGAGATCAAAAAGTCCAAAAAAAAATATCCAAACCAAACCAAACCCTAGCTTTAATTGAAGATGATAAGATCAAAATTATGTCGCTAACAGATTTAGACGTGTACGAAGTACAGTGCAGTCGCTTCTTCGAGACAAGTTCATATGCTAGACGCCTAGGTTCTAGGAACCTTCGTATGAGAACTTCGAATCAAGACGATCGACTTATTGTAAGTTTATCGCTAAGAAACCGCCGCGCCGTTTGCTAGCTTTTTAAATTTATAATGAATTGCACCTAAGAAGCGTACATGTAAGTGAACGAACCTTAAGAGGAAGATTAAACGAGGCAAATCTTATGTCAAGAAAACCTGCTGCAGGACCACAACTTACTAGGTCTGTTGACACTGTTGACTAGGACCAAAAGGCAAAGGCATGTTTTAATGTAAAAATTACGAAAAAATGTGAATGTTCTCTTCAAACGTGAATATCTCGAACAAAAATTAAGCTATTGAGATGAACCAAAAAACAAACTATTGAGAAAGAATGTATTTAGATGATAAAATATTTTCAAAATTCCTTGCTGTCTTAACACATTCCACAGGGTGTTTCAAATTTTTACCAAAATATCAACATTTTGTTTTCTCTCGTATAATTGAAAGATGGGAACTTTTATTTTTACTTTAGAAAGAGATACTAAAAAGCCTAATAATTTACCTACATCTTATTTAAAAAATAATTAAAATTGACTCACTAGAACACGTTATATTAAACTTTAAAGTACAGGGTGGGTCAAATTCGACGCTTTTAAATGGAAACATCCTTTTCTATAGGAGATAGACGAAAACTAATATCGGTGTCTGGAGCTCAATTTTCATCAAAAACATGATGGTGAAAACCGCACATCAATATCTGTTACCGTTTCGGAGTTACGGGGTGTTTTTCAAAAATGTGCGTTTTTAACAAATCGCTGTAACTTTTTTGCTATGGAACATTTTGTATTTCTATGAAAACATTTCCAAAGCACCTTTGAACGTAGAATTTAATGGTTTACATATATTTTTTTTTAAATTAATAGTTTAAGAGTTATCAACAGAAAAATTGATTTTTTATTTGGGACACCCTCTATATTTTTAATTAACTGAAAAGAATTTAAAATTACCTTTCCAAAAATATAGCACACTTGATATTTTGTTATAATCCCCTTCGAAATACAGAATTTTTAAAAGTTCGCCACTTTTAACTCGTAGGCTTTGGACCCCTTACTGATGATATGCCCTTAATGCAACTCGAAAATATATTTTTCCAGCAAGACGACGCACCGCCTCTGAACGCTGAAGTTATCAGCCAATTTCAAGAATAATTGGATAGCTAACCAAGATCCCAGCCGTTGGCCGTCGAGGCCGCCTGACTTAGTGCCCATGGATCTAATCCTATGGATATATTTGCGGAAGAATAAAGGTTCCTTATTCTTCCGTATAATCTAGACAAGAATTAAAAATACTTAGCAGTTATGAGAGGGTATTTTTCACCCCTACTGAGTTAATGAATTCCGCGAGAAATGTTCAAAACTGCCAAGTCTGTCCATAACAGAAGATGGTCGATATGTCGAACACCTGTAGCAGAATCTCATGTCTTCGTTTACTATTTATTTTTATTGTTATTAGATATAGTTTAAATGTGTCGATGTTGGTTAAATATATTTTAAATTGTTATAAAATTCTGCATCTCTCATAGCAAATATTATTTTCGTTTTAATTGATGCTCACAGCTAGAATTTTTTGCATTACAGCCGGTGCCGTTCAAAGCCTACTTATTTAAAGCGGGCGAATTTTTATATACTCTATATCTCGAAGAGGAATCGAGCAAAATATCAAGTGTGTTATATTTTTTGAAAGGTAATTTTAAATTATTTTCAATAAATTAAAAATATACAGGGTGTCCCATATAAAAAATCAAATTTTTTGTTGATAATTCTTAAATTATTAATTTTAAAAAAATGATACTTAAACCATTAAATTTTACGTAAAAAGGTGCTTTGGAAATGTTTTCATAAAAACACAAAATTTTCCATAGCAAAAAAATTACAGCGATATGTTAAAAATCCATATTTTTGAAAAACACCCCGTAACTCCGAAACGGTAACAGATATCGATATGCGGTTTTCACCACAGAATATACACCATACAGAAGCGACAAAGAGCTTTGAATAGCATTGGTCAAATGGGAACTAATTGCGTGACGTCACGTTTGACATCCGTGCGCCTTGAACAGCATTTCACACTGAAAGAAAATTGTTAGATTTTAATAGAAAACGATGAAAGGCAGGTTTATTTAGTTTTTAAAAACTAGAGGGATTTAAATCAGTATTTTTATTTAGAATTAAATATAAATAAATAATTATGAATTTGATATTTTTATTTATTTGGGACACTCTGTATCTTGTAAAAATATTTTTAAATTGTAGCTCTAATAGTCCTTCAACGAACCGAAAACTTAACAATTTGTAAAAATCTAATCGTTTAGCTACAATACTCCGTGTCGTATGTGATGAACAACCCTGTATATCTCCCTCGTATAGGGTGATTTTGGTGAAAGTTTGGTTGTGAATCATTCCTAATTTATGTCATATACTAACATACTAAATCTCATTTTTTTATCTGAAAAAAAGTAATAGGGGTGAGCCACTTTTGAGACGCACTCTGTATATTAAACTTATTTATTTAAAATGAAAAAGTTAAGTTGCCCATTTTTCGTGCCGGTGAGTTGTAGTATAACTCTTTTAATTAATAATTTGATATTTAGTAGCATTTTATTCAAAATTGACAAGATTTTGAAAGTATTTATAAAAACTATGACCTCTTTTAATAAAACCTTATTCAAATTTGACTTTTCTTAAGAGAAACGAACGGTTTCTTTCATTAAGAAAACACATTTCTCCACCGATTCAGTAGATGCTTTCTAGTATTTTTCAGTACGGTGCTAATTGAAACTTTGTTTGTTCAGGTGTGTACCGAAGGCCGCTTAATCCTAGAATTTACCTTCGACGACCTCATGAGGATAAAGTCGTGGCACTTCGCCGTGAGGACGCACCGAGAGCTCATTCCCAGGTCCGTTGTGGCGATGCACTCGCAACAGGACCCCAGTATGCTGGATCAACTGGGCAAGAACATTACCAGGCAGGGTATTACGAACTCTACACTTAATTATTTAAGGGTTAGTATATATTTAAAATATTGTAGATTAGATCGAAAACAAAAATCGAGCGGGAAATCACTGCCAAATGGTAATCGCAAAATGGTAATCGCAAAACAATTTCCGATGCACGTGATTAACTTTGAGTGACAAGCGATGGCGACAGCGCTGCCAGATTGTGATGGATTTATGAGATGAATCTTAATTTAAGAGTGACAAACAATATATTTATTATATCATTTTTTAAAGATTTTTACGTTTTATTTTTAATTTAATAACTAATATTTTAGTAATTAATTGATTTATTTGTTTTATAGCTTATTTTACTTATTACATATTGACAAAATACTAGTCCATTATGAAGATTATTCTAAGCATTATTATGAGTTATTTATTTATTTATTGATGTACAATCTTACAATGTCATAAGTGGTAATAACATGTAAGAGGGGGTGCTATTAATGCACCAACTAATAATCACAAAATTTAATAAAATCTAACGTAGAAATAATTTTGAAAGTGGTGTAATGTGCTTATCAATCAAACTTATTTCTCTGACTGCAGTCAAGGGTAATAAAGGACCTTTATTGTCACGTTCTCGTTCAAAATAGTTAATCAGGGAAGCTTCAAACTCTTTGCTTCTACTGTTTAAATAATTCGGCATATTTTCAATACACAATTTCAAGAAATGCAATCCAAAAACTCGAAAATTTAGTTCTTAAAAGAACTGTTTAAAAGTACAATTTTTAAAAAAAGACTATGAAAATAGACAAAAAATGAGAATTACTCACAAAGATTCAACAACAACACGACATTAGGATAATTGTCAAATAATAAACGACAACCTTGCTGAAAACGGCGCAATGTGACCAACATAACGATAATAAAATATCTGTTACAATCATTGCTCTATAAAGTAAAATGAAGAGCTGCTCCGTATCTTAAATTATACAACAAATTTAAACATTTTTGCCAAAATTTCATTTAGTCAAGTTTATAGACTTTAGTGTGTCAATGTCGATATGATTATGACGTTCGTATCGTGACGTCATAGGTGATTAAGCTGTCTGTACTCTGTATTAACAAAAATAATTTTAATTCAAGCCTTATGTTAAATTAATAACAGAGCAAACTAAAATAATGCCTTTCACATACTTTACGCAAGAACATTAAAAAATATTTTTATTATATAGCACTTTATACCAAATTAAAAACAAAACTAACCAATAGTAAACAAAAGATGGTCTTTGCTAACATAAATAAAAAAATGAAATAGAATAGTACCGTATGATCGAGAAAAAACGGCGTCAACGATGGCTATGAAATGAAGATCGCTGTCATTTTATATGATAAATTATATGGGGAATGTCATCGATGTTCATTTCCAAGTCAACTGGGCGCCGTTTTTATTCGATCATACGGTATATTATGCAAAATCTGAATATTGAATAATATACAGGATGTTTAATAAAAAAATTAAATATTTTTTCGACAGATTTGCTTTGTTAATTTTTCTATTGCGATAAAAGACGATAAAAGATAGCGGTTCAAGCAAAACCCTACAACGTCTATTATCAATTTTTTTTTCTACATCTAATAAAAAAAGCTTGTTTTCAAATGAAAATGCTAATTTGAGCGTAAATGTCTATATTATGTATTGAACTATTTATTACGTCGTGACATAAGAAATAGGCATACTTATCCTCCAGTGTTGCACAGAGGAATAAAAGAGGAATCTGGCAAATACCATGGCGTAATCCGCAACATACTTTCATATTTTTTCAAAGAAATTTTATTTAAGTCTAATTTTGTTTCATTAATTATTAAAAGATTTATAAATAGTTTTCCCGATATTACACATACGAACAGAAAACAGCGCTCTTTAACAGAACAATAAACAAATCGGGACTATTCGTCTTGATAACATGTGGGCGAGCTTACCACAGATAAAAGGCGGCTTGCCATCACTTTTTCTGTAAGCTTTGCCATCACTAATCATAAACTAAATATGGATAGTACTTTCTCACACTACTTTTCTTAATTTTGTCTTTTTCTCGTCAAAATTTTAATGGGATTTTGTAATATATTACGCAAAACTCTTGAAATTCCCGAAATACCCTCGAAATTTCCTTGAAATTTCCCGAAATTCCTTCGAAATACCCCAAAATTTCCCGAAATTCCTCGAAATGCCTTAAAATTCCTCTGCAATTCCTTGCGTTTGTACACTAAAAAAAGCCCAGTGATTTTTCTCTCGACAAAAATACACAGGGTGGTCCCTTTCATACGATGCGGATGCTACAAGGAGAACCACAGATTGTATTAACGCTAAATCATATAATTATCTAGGAAAATTGTTTTCTGAGAGCCAATGAACCTTAATAGTATTTAGTACAGACAGAGGCGCAAATAGGGGAGGGCCAGGGGAGGCTTAGCCCCCCCAGGTGACCAGTGCATGGCGTATAAAATTAGTTTTAACTTCACATGAATCTTATCTTATAGTGACCTAAGCCACCCCAAAAGACTTGGGCCCCCCTAAAAGTATATGTCTAGTTGTGCCCCTAAATACACATATGAGTTGTCTTTTCAATCTTCATTGAATATCACAATAATATACTAGGTGTCCCAATAAAAGAGTAACTTGCTTTTAAAAGTGACCAATGTTCAATATTAATTTTTTCTCACCCTGTATTTGGGATCAAGTTTTTATTTGATTTAAAGTACAATGAATATTTTAACTACATACATCGGCTATACTGGGTGAATTCAAATTAGGTAGCTTTTATAGAAATTTAAAATCTATTTTAAAATTCTTTCTCCATTTTTAGAAAATGTTAAATATGTCAAATATGTCAAAAAAGTTACATTTTAGTCAAATACTTCTCTAATAAAACTCACCTTTATTTTTTACCTAGAATCCGAAAACCAATTAATATACAGTATGTCCCCGGATTTTCTTTACAAGAGGAAAACCCTTTTTATTGAATAGGTTTTGTTTATATTTTTACTAATTTCCCTACCGTTTTAGATGAAATTAAGGAAAACATAAAAGTATTGTTGATTTTTTTCTAATTCAAAACAAAACTATGGCAATATGATTTCGTTTTCATCATGTTTTTATCCTTTGATAGATTGTTATCATAGACTAATGTCATTTACTAGAGATAGATTGGATACTGATATAAAAAAACAAATAGGTCCGTCATTTAGAGCCACCTGGTAATCCGGAAGAAACTACTGGAGAGTTTTGGCATAACACAATTTTAGCGTTCCGTTACTTATTAACGCTAACTAAAACGGTAACGTTATTCAAGCGCAAAATTATTCCTTGTAAAATATAAAATAATAAATATAGACTTTTTTGCTACATTTTATATTTTATTAGTTCATTAGAAGTGTAACAGAGTCAAAACAACATTAAAATTATGAGTACATACATTTTAAATACCAACAATAGAGCACATAGCGCTTATTTTTTTTTTGATTTAACAAATAAATTATAATATAGTAAAAATAATATAGACTACTAATCACGGATCACCAACATTTTGTCAACTAGAGCATGGACGGTAGTCAACATAGAGACTGTCATGTCATCTTCGTATATAAATTAGAAACCTGTACTTTAATGTCTTTTGCGTCGTCTGGCGATGCGGAAGAAACTAAATTTGTAGTTAAAATTACCATTGAGTGTCTAGGGCCTGATTGTTATTGATAGAATTTTAATTAATGTCTTATTGTTTGCCGTTTGAAAATGTTAAAAAGCACAAACATTTATTTAGTTCTATTTAGTTCAATGCTACGGAAAGGGTGATATAGTTATCAGAAATATGACGTTAATCAAAATTAATAATAACCATCTATCCTAATCAAAATTACACTTTTGAAATCACCTTTTGGTTTTTAGGATTTAGAAAATTCATTCATTTTTTCATGTTTTTTTTTAATTTACTCTAAAACGGTATGAATATTTGGAAAACTATAAACGGAATTAAGCATGTTTGTTTATGCGTTTCACGCTTAATTTTAAAGGCCTTTTATGTGACCTTTATATTTCTTATAAATGTCCTTTTTATTTCTTATGTCGGATGGTGTAGGTTTTTATATCTAATTTTACTTAATACTGGATTTTTAGTACAAAATAAATTAAAGGAAAACTAATATTGTTGAAATGTTTGACTGTTTTCTTTAATATTATTTCTTTTTTAGCTATGTGTGATACTAGAACCAATGCAAGAACTGATGTCGAGGAACAAGGCCTACGCCCTCAGTCCCAGAGATTGTTTAAAAACGACCCTGTTTCAAAAGTGGCAACGTATCATCGCCCCGCCTGGTACGAGAGGTACCAATTTTATATTGCACTATAGGATTGTTCATTTTTGCTCTACTTTCACACTAAAAATGAATCTATCGAAATTTGCTAAGAACCTATTAAAACGTTTTTTAATTTTTTAACTTTCAAGGAGGTAATGCAGAGACATTTGTAATTAACGATTTTAGTGTCATTAGACATAATTATTAGATGTTTATAAAGTTACAACTTCAGTCATTTCTTTTCATTGATCAATACACCAAAAGAAACATTTTCCCTAGTGGTTTGAAAACGTCCCAAAGAATTCAATACCCTTTTAAATTATTATTCGAAAATTTATAGCTATTTTATTAAACAACTTTAATTTTTGAAAAATATCTTGTAATTTATAATTAACAGAATAATTTTGAATGTTTAGTTTTGTTGTAAATAATACTTTATTAACAAACAGATGGAAATTAATTGAACTAATTCTTTTTTGGCTTTTAGTAATATTTATTACCTTTGTCTTAGAGAAATACTTTTTAGGCTGGAACATTTGTTGTTACAGTATAAATTTACATATTTTACCACAAAACGTTGTAACCAAAAGTATTTTAATTAATTATTGTGGTCAAAAGTGTTTAATTTTCTACTTTTGTCACGTTCATGAAGTTAATTTGAAAAATGTTCTGATTTTGAATACCTATATTTACCTACTGATAAACTGTATATGTAGAAATATGCTAATATCACATAAATCACATCACTATAGTCCTACCTGTGTAACTTTTCCGAATGTTGTGGCGCACTATCCGTCAACTCAGTCAAAATTAATTAATTGTCATGATATAAGTACAAATTTGCTAACATGGGGAAGTAGTTAAAGTTAGTTTTTGTCATTATTTTATATTTAAATTGTTCTTTCGATGTTCCTGAGACCTAATTTACATGATATAAAATGCCCAAATGAGAAAATCTCGAGATTTCTATTATATTTACCACATTTGAAACATGACATTATTAAGATTGATAATTACAAATGTCAAGAGGTGAAAAAATTTGAAATTCAAAAAATGCTTTTAATTTTTTTAAAGTAAATTTTTCTTTTATTGAAAAACTAAATAGTATATTTAACTACAGTTCTACGTCAAATATAGGCAAGATGACATACGCATACGCACCTATTCCCGAGAGTTACATAAACTTTATTCATCTACAGATTATTGGTATTAGAAAATGAGAATAATTCTGACGAATCATTCTGATGCACGTATAGAGTATTTTATTATTAAGTAGATTAAAAAATTCAATATTTCTTGCTTGTCAACGAAATTTTATTAATTATCTTAATTTTAATATTATCAATACTTATTTGAAAGTAAGATGACAAATAGGAAATATTGGAGATGTTTAGAAGGCGATTGAAGACAACTAATTAGTTTATTTCGATAATTTGGTCGCACAGAATCCCAGAGGCCCGCGAACAAGCGAAGGAAAAGGAAAGGATCGAATTCAGGCGGGGCAGCAAACAACGCGACACCAGCTCCCAACAAAAAAGGTCGCCAGGACCAAATTTTTCGTTAGCGTCACAGGTATGTTAATATAGATTGTTTTACTGTTGTTTAGCGACTAAAGTATGACGTAATTTAGTCAATATATATAGTTTTTTAGATTTAGTTTAGTTCACACTTGATAACGGTCAGTGATACTTCTGACCGAAACGATGTGTAAGCAAAATAAAGAAAATGGAAGTCCGAAATTCTTTTAGTTTTAATACTGAATCATTATCTACTACATTCAATGTAATAAAAGAATTTAGAAACTTAACCTTTTGATGTTGAAGGCGTTTGTATATCCATAGATGTCAGTAATGTTTTCAATTATTCAAAAGCAATCCTGTATTTTCTCGACGCCCAGGTCCAAATTTAATAAAACTATTTTTTTACTATTTCTCATTGACAAGTTGACAATTATGTCAAATACATGCCATTATATCCATGACTAAAGAATCCAAGGACAAATAACATCCGAGAGCAAATTGTTACCATGCCACCAAACAGCGCCGTTGCACATATTTTTCTTAACTTAGCTGTTTAGTGTTTGAAGAGATATTTAGATTATTATTATTAGATTATTAGAGATATATTTTTTGATAAATATTTTTACTACGCCTATGGTGTATACGGTGGTATCATACTAATTAATTACGAAAATAACGTATTAAAATGTTAACAAAATGTACAAAAATCGTAGTATCGACGTTTAGCACACAGCAAGTTCATATAAATCAGAAAAATAATTGTCGACTTTAATAAGAAAACTAATAAAACGCTAAAAAGGTGGAGTGGACTGTTTATTTACCAGTGAAACATAACTCCTGGTTCTTTCTTATTGCTGCGGCTTTTACACTTGAAAGCTGAACAACTAATCGCCATTGTAATCGGCATTGTTTATACAAGTTAACTACACGGTTATTATTAAAAATCGCGAAAATTGTTGCTGATGTGATCAACTGATGACTCATTAGTTACCACCAACAAAATGACGTCTAAGGTCACAAATTCTGCTGCCCGTAGACGGGCGTTACATGTCCTTGTATTCTTTAGTCATTGCATTATATGTATTTTTTAGGCAACCAAATAAACTAGTAATCTCTAAACAATATTTTTCCTACCACTAGCGACATACCGTGTTCTTACTAAATTATTTTGTCAAAATTTCACCATATAAGTTTCTAGGCAATGAATTTACTCAAGCCAAATTTTTGAACTGCACAAACTAACGATTTCTGTTTACACTTTACGATTTGTTGGTACAGTTTGGTTTTGCGCTAACTGGTTTGCGCCAGTTAGCGTAAATTATCTTAGAGGCTAAACGACCCTTTAAAGTTGAGTTAACATCTTCCTTTTGCTGCTAGAGCTAATCTGGACGGGGCCTACTTTGTTTGCGCGGAATCCGAACCGTGGACCTCGGCCATATCATTATCACTGGCCTACCGACTTGGGGAGCGGGTGGTGTCTGAATTAACAATTACTTACGAGATATCCGATCTTTAACTAGCCTAAATGAACAGTGTTTATCAATAGATTTTACATTCCTGTCATGAAACAACAGCACGACAGAGTTTCCAGACGTTCGCGTGTCCATCCAGTCGTATCGTCTAACGTCGCTGAGACGGAAGACATTATTTTTATAAAACTCAACGCACTAAATTTTTTGTTTCTCGAAAACACAGACAGACAGAGTTGGCAACACCGCCCGGAATAGCGGCCTCCGACCGCCACCGAGTTGCGGTACTTTCTTACTTTATCTTTTTCTTACATATTGCTACATCTCGGCCTTCAAGTCTTTGCGGTCCGCAGAGTACGTCGAAGATTCACAAGAAGGCACAGCCTTTAATATCTCATTAGAGACAATATAAACTCATTCCGCCCTAAAAAATGTGATAAAAAAAGTTTTGCCAATTAGTCGCTAAATTCTATTTCAAACCGACTGACTTGGCGAGGTTCGAACTTTTATACCGCATGATCGAAAAAAAAACGATATGTAAAATTATATGGGGAATGTCTGATCGTTACTTTCAAGCCAACTGGATGCCGTTTTTTTTTCAATCATACAGTATATCCCAGCGGACGCTCTCGAAATTTCTAAAACTCATAGTAGTATTCTTTTTGTATTCTATTGATTTGTAGTCTCCTTCTAGCAATTTCCGTTACCTTGTCCGTGATTTTCCACCAGTGTCTAAGAGATGGCGCACCATTTAATTCCTCCGAAAGATCCAAATACGTTTAAAATAAGATATACGGAGGGTACCGCTTAAATTCCTGTCCCGATATTGAAGGATGGCTATAGAATTTCAATGTATTTCCTACGTAAGTCTATCCTTGTGTTGTAGGAGGTTTGCCTAACAAAGATGAACTTATGTCTTGAAACCATTCGACTCGATTTTCTGTCCTTCAATACTGGGACGTAAATCCTCTCATTGCTCTTATGGGGAAGCCGTCGTATAATTTGGATAGATCTCACCACGCTTCTTGACTATACAAACACGCTTAGCGGTTGTTCGTTCCTCCGACAGATGTCGCCATACACCTTGACAATATGCACGCCAGCACAATACATCAAGTTTTAAAACATATGCATATGTATCTATTGTATGTCTAAGACATAAAAGAATATTTAAATCATAGATGTTGTATCTTTGATCATATGCATTGCATTGACTTGTTTTAAGCTGATTTTAAATAGAAAATATCCTCAACAATTGAAGAGTGGAAATACCAAAGAGGGTAAGTGCCAAATTTTGCAATATTAAGTTATTGCATTGGAAACGTAATAAATACCATGCAGCATGTCCTAACAAATGTTACAAGTGCCAAGCGAAAGCGTTTATTTTTTATGTATATTATATGTAATTTAAAAGATATCTTAAGAATTTATTACTTTCAGTTCTACTGTGTTTTTGTCATTTTTTCGCATTTCCACTCTTCAATTAACCTTTAAAATATGTTCATTTTCGGTTCTAATGATGTTAATTGAATCGAGTAAAATATATGTTTGTTTTGTAAATTCAGTTTTTACTTATTCAGGATGTGATGGTGGTGGGTGAACCTTCACTTATGGGTGGCGAATTCGGTGACGAAGACGAACGGCTCATCACCAGATTAGAAAACACTCAGTATGATGCAGCCAACTCGCTGGATCATGACAACCATACCGGTGGGGGCTTCCATGGGGCCGACTCGCCGATGGCTGGTACCAACTCATGGGGTGCAGGTATCTATTTATTTAAATTTTAACTTTTAAATTATGTTGTATATAGTGAAAAAGTTTCCAAGAAATGTAAGCTATCGATAAAGAATTAGGTGGAATCAATTCAGTCCAATAACAATAAACTGTCACATATAATATATGTGACAATGATAACTGGCAAATTAAAAAGGAGTCCTTTAAGCAATAAAAAATTGGATTGTATGATAAAAGAAACCATCAAAATATTCAGAATTTGATTTTACCTCTATAGGCTTGGTGCATTCTCCGCCAGTGCTGCCGCCATCGGAGAATATCGTTAACAACCGGCGTATACAAATACACAGTCTTTTTAGTCAATGCTATTAGATAAACTTTTTTTTCAAAAAGTTAATAATATACCGAAGTTTATAAGATCTCTGTAATATACCATATCGACAAGAGAAGTCGTGGGTCGGTATTTAGTACATTCATCAAAAAAGGTCTAGACTCCCATCCATTTACCCCCGCTCTCATACTTTGTCAGTCGTAAGTTGTCCACTGGAAAAGCTTAAATTCGAAAATTCGCATCCCCCCACCCCACCATTTTTGAGAAACTCAAAAAAATGTTGATTTGATTTTCTGGCTGGACGGTAGGTCGTACAGAAAATTTTATGGAACAAAAAATGAAGAGAATTAAATTCTCTACATTTTTATTTCTAAGTAATAAACCTCGATAACTTACGGGGACAAAGTTAGAGGGCGCCAAAATCACTCAAACGCAGTTTTATGCTTTTTTCCGGGTGAAACCATTTTTTACATAAAAAAAACTATCAAGTTGATGTGTAACTTTACGTTTTACTGTTTACGAGATATATTGCATTCATTCCTACAATGTATATGTGTCGTAGTCTCATAGTGTATTCCGTCTTTTCATGAAGATCCTAGTCACTTCATGAAATAAACTAACCTAATAACCTAACTAAACTAACTAACCTAACCGACGCTTCATGAAGTGACTAGGATCTTCATAAAAAGACGAAATATACTATGAGACTACGATATATGCAGTTTCATAAAATCAATGACGGTCGATAAGGTACTGCAAGTTACCTTTGCGGATTACGATGTTCACTCGAACTGAGGGTAATGATAACGATCCTCTAAACTTTCTCTGATCGTTTTGAAATTTTTTTAGGTGCGCTGAAGGTAGCATTTTTGAGAAACTCCAAAAATTGTTTTGATTCTATTTTTTAAACAGAAAATCTTATAGAACAAAAAATGAAGAGAATTCAATTCTCTACAATTTCATTTTTCAGTAACAAAGCTGTAAAATCTACCGGAACAAAGTTTTTTATTCCGTACACGCACAATTGCTTACTGCGTCAAAACCCTCGCATCTACATAGCCGAAAAATGTCAGATGATCGACTAGTTAGTGCTGAAATGCGGACCAGAGGGGGGAACACGACAATAGGCCGAGCGATAGCTACGTCCTCGAATGCTCGAGCAACAGCCCGCGACATTAGCAACGTTATATCTTGTAAACAGTGAAACGTAAAAAAGTTACATATCAATTTGGTAGGTTTTTTATATTCTTTAATTTTAAAAATTTTGCGACAGTAAAAAAATTGTTTCACCCGAAAAATACAAAAAACTGCGTTTGAGTAACTTTGTCCCCGTAGGTTTTAGAGGATTGCTACTTAGAGATGAAAATGTAGAGAATTTGATTCTCATAATTTTTTTTCCATAAAATTTTCTGTAGGACCTACGGTTCATCCAAAAAATAGAATTCAATTTTTTTTTGAATTTCGGCATTTGAGAGTTTGGCAATATATGACGTGGCGTTGAACGATCGTTGAACAAACAATATGTTTCATGCGCTTGAGAAAAATTTCTCCTTTTTCTTTTTCAGTACATCTTCTTCTGAAATATGGCCACTTACCTTTGCAGCATTCATCCAGCACTTTAACGATTCAGTACATCTTATTGTACTGAGCGTATTCTCTGTACTCTTCGTACGCACGAAAATCGGCACCAAAAGCCAGAAATGCCGACCCGGTATATATTTTTAAAATTTGTTGGTAACTTTTTCGCGTACGTTGTAATAAATACACATTCTTTTACCCAGTTTTACTTTTTATTCTAATAAATACCTATTATCTCCATTCGGTTTAGGACCCGGAGGCGCCGGTCCAGGGGACAGGGGCCAGGGAGGAGCACCACCTGGCGGCTCGACACCCCAGGGCGGCGACTCGACGCAGGACAAAAAGTCGCCCGCTGTGAGCCAGTGATGACAAAGAACCAGCGCACCCAAAGGCGGTGCCAACGGTGAAAGCAGTGCTAGTGGCGGCGGCGGTGGCGGCGCGCCATCTACCGGAGCTCGCCCTCCGATGACCAACGATCCGCAAGTGCTGGGCGTGGACGGAATCTCTCGGGCGTACTTACATTGGTTGCAACTGCAACAGCAGCTACAGCAGGAACTAGCTAGGTTTTATTTCAGATATAGAGGTGGATCGGAACTAGATAAGGTGGGACAGGGTCCGCAGGATTTGAGTAAAAAAGGCAAATAATGAAATTGGTTATGAATATATTTTATTGGCTATATTGTCTGAGTATTTTATTTCAAAACCTACAGTGACTGCTTGTATTAATACAATTGGATAACCTGTAATATAATGTGCATTTGAAAATCTTAGAAAATGAAGTATTACAAACAAGAATCTTTTGAAAGGGATCTTATGAAGTATATAAGTTTTATTCTTTTTAAGGTTTTAATTGTCTTACATCAAGATTCAGAATTAAAAAAATGAATGTAAAAAATAAAGCATCTTTTATTTACTTGGAAAATAAATCTCATGATGGTCTTATTTCATATTTTTTTATATGCAAACAGAAACTGGACCGCTATACAAAAACATATAATCATAAGTATAGATGATGAATGATCAACAACCTTAGATGCTGGGCCCGAATTCTGGAACTTCGACATAAAAATGGTACGCTTTCAAAGCGGATTAGCCAAGCAGTCGATTTTGGTTATCTCGTTGCCGTGCGATTCGTTTTCTGGATACGCGTTGAGCACATATTGGCAGCATCACAATTTCTCAGTTATCTAATAGTTTACTAATAGTCAAATGTGAATAAAACTTTGAGATAAAACTATGAAAAATGACAATGTTACGTGAATTTCATAACCTATTGTTGAGTTATGTCAACCTATTTTTCTATGGATGTCATTATTCTTGTTATACGAGGGAAATGTTTAAGACGCTTCTAAGCATTTTCGATGTTTTAAACAATATTTGCCGTAATATTATAAGTCGTAAATTATCAATTGCCTATTGGAGGAATTTATAGAATAAGAAGTAGTTTTCATTAAATAGCAAGAAAACGCACAAAATCACAATTTTTACTGAGAGTTCTCCAAGCAAAACGATCCTTTAAGGTAGCAGCGACGGCCTAGCTACGTTGAAACACCGGTTCCCATTAGAACACCGAAGTTAAGCGACGTAAGGCGATACTGGTGGATGGACGGGTGACCGGTTCGAAACTCTGTATCGTGCTATTGTTCAAGGGAAAAGTGTAAAATCTATTGATACACAAGTTCGAGGCCGGATGAGAACAGATATCTCGTGAGTAAGAGTTTATTTAGACACTTCCTAAGTCGGTAGGCCTTTGACCATGATATTGTCGAGGACCGCGGTTCGGATTCCGCTTAAACAAAGTAGGACCCGTCCAGATTAGCCCGGCAGCAAAAAGGAGACGTTAACTGAAATCTTTACTTTTACTTTACCTTTAAGCTAGCCGTTTTCATATCGCTTAGCGCAAAGGGTAAAGACGCTAAGCGCATCAAATGAGAATACCCAAATCGGTAGTTAAGTGCGCGCTAAGCGAAAATTAGCGTCATATACGTTGAGAGTCTATAAGCGCTTAGCGTTTTCTAAGTTACAGAATTCCAGTCCTGGTCTCAGCTTAAATTAGTTATGGGTTCATTTATTGATGACGTTTTATTTCGCCATTAAAACAAAGAAAAGAGTAGAAAAACTTATTTTTATGCCAATGGGTTACGTTTCAATCCAAACATTAGCCATCTTCTTAGTGTTTTTTTACTGGTAAACAATTTTTACAATCCAAGAAAGTCACTCTCATATATTTACTCATTGGACAGACTATACGAGTTTCTTATACCGTATGATAAAAAAAAACGACGTTAGCGATGGCTATGAAATGAAGATCGCTGTCATTTTATATGTAAAATTATTTTATGGAGAATGTCATCGATGTTCATTTCCAAGCCAACTGGACGCCGTTTTTTTTCGATCATTGGTAGGATGCATTCATATCTGGAACATTAACCATCTGGAACATAAAAATAAGTTATCTTGCAATTTCAGCCTACAAGAAATAAACTTTTTTCTGATGTAATTATTCTATAACATCTTTAAAAAATGTATATTAAAAAAATCCTTAACACTATTATATAAGCTGTCACTGAAAGGTTTAAAAAGAATATATTATTGTTATAATCTATAGTCAATATTTTTGTAAACTTAATTCCAAATTACAAATATTTTATTTAGATAATGATGACTATGGGACCATACATGTCTTAAATTCCAAAAAAACATTGAAATATCGACTGTTTCTTGATACCTCTATTTGAAAACCAAGTATGTCTAATTTAATACTGAAATATTAACGCTGATAGTTTCTGCTGTAGTTTATTGTTGACCAGAAATAACCACTGCATAGCCCAGGATCAGTGTAAATACGGGCATTCCGCATTCAGTATTTTCTTTTCGAGACTCTAAGAGTTCTTGTTTTTCGTTTAAATTTTATCAAATCAGAGACGCGAAGAATGTGCCTAATTCAAAAGTGGAACTTTCGGAGTGAAAATAGTGATTTTGTGGTAACATTAAAGGAACCATATTCGAATGGCTGGTTTAAGATAATGACAAAATACATTGACATGTTAATGTGAATCTTTTATGCCACGTTGGCAGCATACTGTTGTATTATTTCATGTGCTAGTCTAAAGATTCAAATATTTACAAAACCTTGTTTCTTCGTTATTAATTTAATTGCAGAATTCTGCATTTAATAGTACAATCTGTCGATAAAAACTAACAAAATAATTTATTACGATAATTTTGTCTATATTAAGCAAAAATATTGATGAAATCTGTGAGACTAGCATTTTTGCACAGAATTTGCGTGCAATGAATAAAATGGTTTCGATTGAAACCAATCACCATAGGTACCTCTATTGACTGTATGAATGGGTTTTTAAAGGTAATAGGTAGTTCAATAATGGCAGCTCACATTTTATACTTGTACAGTAGTTCTAAAGTAACTAAAACATCACGAGTCTTTGTTATAAGTGCAGAATGGTGATATCATTTCATTTAATTTGAAATTTTTGATAAACATGTAAGGCGAGGACACAAATACATATACAATAACTATAAAGTAAAATTTTAAAATAAAATGCAGTAATATTAAGATATTATCAAAATATGATACATATCAGTGTAATTGTCATATTTCTCATTTATATTTTTATCTGGAAGTATGGTGAAATATGGGAAAATTAATTAACTAAAGTGTAAAATATTTTAGATGTCTCTAAAAAGCAATATATTTTTGTTTGATTATATTTAAGCTTCGTTCAGAGCCGCACAATTAGTGGTTTCAATTAGCGTAGAAGTTTGTTCCTTTAGTTTCAATGTTAGGCATTCAGAACGTCAAAATTAGTGGTAGTCGTCTTCAATTAGTAGAAAAAGTTAACAAACTTTTAACTTTTCCACTAATTAATACTTCAAAATTTGCGAGGAATGTCATTTTGGCCTTTGATTATCATCCGTCAAGAGAAATTGTGGTTAGGAGTGAAAAGGTTATTGTTTTAGAAGGTAAATATTAGACTCTCTCTATGGATACAACTGACTACTGCAAGCTGTTGCTAGGATATTCGATTAATTTTAATTGTGTTCTTAGACATTGTGAATGATCATAATCCAAAAAGTATAAAGTGTAAAGCTTCATTCAGAACCTTGCAATTAGTGGAACAAATTAGTGATTTCAATTACACTTTATACTTTTTAGTTTACAATTATTCACAATGTTTAATAAACACAATTAAAATTAATAGAATACCCTAGCAACAGCTTGCGTTAGTAAATTGAATCCATAGAGAACGCCTATATTTAGCTTATGAAACAATTAACTTTTTATTCCTAACCACAATTTCTCTTCATGGAAGATAATCAAAAACCAAAATGACATTCCTCGCGAATTTTGAAGTATAATTAGTGGAAAAGTCAAATATTTGTTAACTTTTTCCACTAATTGAAAATTACTACCACTAATTATGACGTTCTGGACGCTTACATTAAAATTAGGTGAACAAACTTCTACGGCTCATTGAAACTACTAATTTATTCCACTGATTTCGAGGTTCTGAAAAAGGACCAAACTTCTACGCTAATTGAAACCACTAATTTATTCCAGTAATTGCGAGGTTCTGAATTAAGTTTAATTGAAACCACTAATTTATTTCACTAATTGCGAGGTTCTGAATGAAGCTTTATATTTTCCATAATTCTCCATTTCTACTAATCATTTTGTATTTCTTACAACCGTTTTTATAAGATCTCTTCTAGATTGATTTAAACTTTCAAATATAGTTATACTTTTTGTATTTACTAATTTATTATATAACTTTGTACAAAGAGTTTCTAATATTATGTTTGTCAAATTTTTCAAATAAGTCATGATGTATCTGTTCAATTTAGAATTCTACTTAACTGATTACCTAGTTTTATATAGAAAATATTTCAGTTGCAAATAACAGTACCTATTTTGAATCTCCTGAATTTTACTTGTAACGAACACTAAGGGAACATATTTTAATCTTAAAGAAAATATTTTTTTGTTTTATTGGTCAACATGATTCCATCAGATATTATTTGCCGAACGCAGTGATAATTTTACCTACAACAGATAATTTATTACTTTAGTGTTTGTGATGGTAGAAATTCAAGAATATTGGTTTAAAAATGAAATGAAAATAATTATTAAAGATTTCGTTAAAATTTCAAAAAGTATTCATTAATATTTACAATTATTTTTACGTGGATGGGCTGCCTTTGTGTAATATGCATTTGTATATATAATTTTAAAATATATAGCGTAGCCTATAATATTGAAAAATCATAGAAATTGAATAGATACAAAATGACCATGAAGAAAAGTGAAACAAGTAACAATTGTTTTGTTAATAGAGCCTTTGAGGTGCCCTCTAGGATAAATTTTGTATAATAGTGAAAATATATTTTAAATTGTGCAACTTACTTATAAATATTGTCCATTAAAAAGTATGGTGTTGATTATACATACTGATTTAATTTAACATAAGATGTATGTATTTTATAGAAATGACAGGTATGAATGTAATATTATTCTTGTTTTTTGGAAATTTTATTTAAAAGGTATCTCATAATTAGTTTTTGGACAAAACTAATTTGAATTTTTTTTCTATTTATACTTGATTGAATTGATTTTTTTTGCATTGGTCTTAATAAGGTCATTGCAAAAACTCATAAATATTTTTACATAGAATTGTATTACTTAATAGCAATAAAATTTTATTGAGAGAACTTTTATGTTTTTACAACTTAAAATTTAACATAATATTATGATTTCTTGTGCATTGATCTTAATTTAAGTAATAAAATTCTATAGACAAAACATTTAAGCATTTCCCCTGTTGGAGGAAAAAAACACGACAAAAATTAAAAAAAAGAAAAAGTCAAAGCTGAAATATGTCACACCAGAGTAAAACAAAAAAAAATTAGATCGATTAAAACACATTTTCCTTAAACACAAGAGATTTTGTATTTAAGGAGAACATAGAAAAGTAAAATACATTTTCTATACACTTGAAATTTATATGATATCATAAACTATCTAACCAAAACTCTAAATTTCTATATGCTGAATGCCAATTCCACGCGTGTTATCATCTTTCATCAGATTTATTCGACCACTCCTCCTGATCGCTTGGTTCACTGCTTATTGGAATATTAGATATAATATATAATTGGTCAAAACTTTGTTATTGGCACCGTTTTGTCCCCACGACAACCATGTCCATGACATTATTGTGCAATATTTACACAAAATATATTTTCCTGCTCTAAATTGATGATTTTATAGCCTAAAAAAGAATCTTTTTGGGCGTGACAATTTTTTTCTAAATTGGTGCACACCATTGGCGGCTCCTCAGGGTAGGCCTCTGAGGCCGCACCTTTAAAATGAAGGAACGATTTATTTTTTGTATCTAGTTTTTTTCCCAGTATAACCCAGTAATTCCAGTATAACTTATTACAATTCTATAACACATTCAACATAATAAAACTAAAAAAAATATATTTTATAAATACATCCAGGTCCAGGCGCAACATATGCCGCGTAAACCCAGCCAAAAAGAACGCCACTTGACAGAGGCTAAATAATTCTAGCTTGGAAAGTTCGAATTGCCTACTATTGCCTAATTCCTATTAGCAGCGACGATTTTAAAGATCATGTGACGCCGGTGAAGCGACGGCCGACGACGGGGTACGCATTCTCGATCGCGTGTTATTTTGAGAGGGTTTAGGTGAGATATATTTGGCGCATGGGTGTGTTTTCATTGGTACTTTAAATCATCTGACTATTGACTATTGAAAAATGCGACAAAGTCTCGATATGCCTGATTCAGGAAGTTAAAGTGCCGGTGGCTGGCCGGTGTGGTGAGAACAGCGTGGGTGAATTAATTAGCGTGTTTTTGTTTTTATTTAGACATTTACGACGAGAATTATTTAAATTGTGTTTCTAAATTTAAATTATTGGCTATTATGATGGCTATTAGATACAATATTTCTAACTCAATTACACAGAGGTGAGGTGGAATTTTAGCAGTTTTTGAAATTCAACGCAACAAAATGATTTCAACAATATTTAATATTGTTGAAATTTGAAGGTTAGGCTTTTCTTTGCTGGTAAGATTTATTTTATCAATTTTAAAATACCGAAGAGTAGTTGGATTTTAATGTTTTCTTTAAAATGAATTATATTTATAACGTTATTCTTTCTGTACTGGAGACTCCGTTTTTAAGACGAAATGAAACTGAAAAAAAAGCCTAATAAATATATTAAGGAGTCAATAATTTCCGCAATATTTAACGATAAGAAGCAAGGTAGGCAATAGATAATTATGAACTTTTCAAATATCTTGGTACTAATTGGAATAGGTAATATAATAATTATTATATCTAATAATATAAACCATTAAAAAAGAGATAACGCGTCGCAGAATAATACTTCTAGGAGAGAAAATTTATTTGTATTTAAACAAAATTATTAACCTCGTGTAGCCTCACCTTTCTATATACCCACGAGCCGCCACTAGTGCACACCCAAAGTATTGAACCATCTGCCGCCTCTGTTATTCATTATATTAAGTGGTTATACAGGGTGCACTAACATGGATGTTCAAAACAGGAAAACAATTAAATTCAAATGACAGATTAACTATGACTGGTATTTGTTCTTTCTGGGATAACTTGACGACGTATTTTCGAATATTTTTCTACTGAGAAAATAATAGAATTTAAGATTTATTTTTTGCTATTTGAACCATGATAATCTCTGTTCGAGATGCGATTTTGACGGACCCCATCCATAAGGAAACACAAATAAAAGCAAAGTAATTTTATATAGGAAAATATATATTTTTTCCAAAAACTAATTATGCTTGTCCTTTAACCACTGTATTCTTTTATTGGTGTCAGAATGAAACTTTTATGGTAAACCTGTTAAAAGAAATATAAAATATTATCCGAGGCAGTTGTAATTTTCACTAATGTCTTATTTTAAAAGCTGTGTAAGTGTATTTTTACAAATCTTTTTGTCTGTAGTTGTGTGTGTATTTTCTTGTTATCCGATCTTATGGTTTATAATTTCGATTTTTGTAATTTTTCTGTAAAAACAGCATCACAGCTCTTCGCAGAATGGCGATGTCTGTTCTCAAATCTCACAATAAAAACACTTACAGATACAATTAGTTTTATTTTGTAGTTTGAATTAAATTTTCCTTTTTTATATCCAGTTAAAAAGTTGTTATAACCCATATTATAACCAATACACGGTTTTAAAATCTTGACTGTATGACATAAGAACAGCTTATACATACAGTCAGTCGATTTCTGCTAGTTTTATAATAGATTATAATGTGTGAAAACTATCCTACTTATATAATATAATGAAAAATCGTACTTATAATTAAGTAGTTTTTTGAGGCTTAAAATTTATAGCAATGTTAAAGAGGAGCAGTATAAAAAATCACCCTCTGTACATTTTGTAACTTCTTGATATTTTTTTTATTAAATTAGTTGTTTTAGTTGAATTGTAGTCGTGTACTAGAAGATAACTGTATTTTAAATATATTTAATTTCATGTATTCTATGACATGAAATTAAATATATTTAAAATACAGATATTTTTACTAGTTGAATTTCAGGGATTTCATCTGAAAAATTATTAATTAGAAGAAAAGTGGCAAAAAATAATAATATTTTAGTGCAGTCTGATGACCGATATATTTACGAAAAAAAAGATCTCAGATATGTTTTGATATGTATTTTTTAAAACCCTAGTTAAAACCTTAGTAAAAAAAAATATTCAGTATTTTAAAATACTAATGGTAATAAAATTATACAGGATGTCCCAGAAATAAGTGCAAGTATTTTAACTGGTAGTATAATTCAACCCCAGAAACACGCCTATGAGGTTTTTTTCGCGAAGAAAATTTTTTAAAAATTCGGAATTTTTTGAAAAACTTTGGAAATTTTTTTAGTTTTTAGTTAAAAAACATAATTTCTTGATAATATGGCAACATAGGTTAAAAATTTACAAGAAAGAAAACCCAAAAAAGATCCAGTGGTTCTCAAAATTTTAACAACAAGTAATTTTTTGGAAATTTTCAAAGCAAAATAACTCCGTTATTTTGGATTTATTTGAAAAACGATAAAGATAAAATATGTTTCTTTTATCGAGATCTACCACCCCTTAAAATTCTTGCACTTATTTCTGGGACACCCTGTATAGGCATTGGTAAACACGCTTGCGGATAACAATCATAACTTATTTAAATATACAGTAGAATGCATACATTTAAGATTATTCTCCATCATTCACTAAAACAATTAAGAACACGATGAAAGTCTTACTTAAAAATTAATTAGTATAATAACAAAATATTATGTTGACATGGCGGTCGCATTGCTTTTTACGAGCAAATCGCTGTACGATTTATTTCGTTCATTTGGAATAATTTGAATATTATACCAGTTATTGATTCATATAAATGTAAAAAAATAAATTTTCATATTTTTGAATTTTGTCCATTGGATGCAACACTGTGCGCCGTATCGTTTTTGGCAGAAAAAGTCTGAAATTGGGATGCCTAAAAACTTTAAATTTTTACCATAAAATTATAGATATAAAGGGCACATGTAACCTCTTCCCATAGAAATTTCACGGTTGACTGAGAGTTCAAAAAACATGTGTCATATCTCGTGGACAGATTCCTCACGTAAAACTAATATTTATTTTTCATATCAACATAGGTCCGATTCTGCTTAGTTTCGTAGCTACAGGGTGTTAAAACCTTAATATTTTTTCGATTTATTATATAATTTCCTTCCAAGTACCTACTTTTAGCGTTTCGAATGAAATTTTGGGGATAAAAGTTACTATAAATGCGACATATTTTAAAGCTAAAAAAGTGTCCACATATTCACCAGGGACGTGCATATGGGTTATCACTGGAATATTTTTCTAAAAAAAAATATGTACGTCACTGACTTTTTTTTTGTTAGCGAAATATCGTAAGCTGTTTAATGCCGATTAAAGCTTGTTTCATATAGACGCGAATCGCGAATTGCGATTTTGCGAAACTGCTCTCATTGGTCCAATTTTAATGATCATGCAGCGCTGTCAGAAATTTTAAGATTTTGGCGATTCGCAAGATTTAAAATTTGGGGGGCGGGAAAGTTAAAGTGTTTTCAACTTTTTGCGAATATTCGCGCGATTTTAAGGTTCGCGTTTGCGCAGAATGGTGTTGTGATCCGGTTATCGATTATTGTGACGACGCTGCCACAAAGTACCAAAGTACAAAGCTGGTACAAAGTAACTGAAAGCATTTCTCCAGGTGAAATGGGTTCTCGTGTATGTTTTGATATATGGTGACAATTTTTCAACCAAGTTATCAAACTCCTGTACAGACAATCTGTGAAAATTCTGAAAAAATTTGTCCTCATTTCTTGAATTAAATTGCGATAAGCACCTTGTTGCTTATGAAATTTAAATATTTCACATGTCCCAATTGACCTATAAACCCGTTCTATTCTACGTTTTAACAATGAGTAAATGGCAATTTTGCACCTTCTGTTCCAATCCCACAATCGTAATCAATATTCATAATCATTAAACAAATTTAAACTCATATTGTATGCTATAAAATATAAAATAAAGATCGTAAACACGAATAAAAACAAATTAAGTTATCTCAGGTTATGATTTTTTTAGTAACTTTCAGTGGAGCAAAAATGAAATGTCCCTAAAAATTCGCGACTATATGAAATAGGTCCAAATTTTGCGAATATTTTTTGGCGAATCGCTTTTCGCAATTCGCGATTCGCGTCTATATGAAACAAGCTTAAAAGTTCTCTTGATATTTTGTCGATTTCGGCCTCCTTGATGAGATAAACACAATTTTATTAATTTGCGTTTATCCAAGTCTAATAGAAACCTAAAATTTAATATCAACATGAGAAAAAATTTAATATCAACATGAGAAAGTTTTAATTAAGTACTCTTTGATTCCTCGTCAAAAAAATATAAAAAAGTTCCTATAAAGATGGGTATGGAAATGCATAGTTTCAGAGGTACAGGATTTTAAAACATATGTTAAAATTACGTTTTTTGTAATTATATATACCTTATTAAATACTATTATTTTTTTATTTGAAATTGCTGTAGGTTGGACTAATCGTAATAATAACTAATAGTAATAATATTTAATAATAAATAAGGTAAAATATATAGTTTATTAATTTTATTAATTATAATATAATTTTAATTTTATTAATTGTGATTAATAAAATTGCGTTTATCACATCAAGGAGGCAGAATTCGACAAAATATCAAGATAACTTTTAATTGCCATTAAACGGCCTACACAATTTTGATATCAAAAGAAAAATTTCAATGGCGCACATGTTTTTTTTTGAAAAATATTCCAGTGATAACCCGTATGCACGTCCCTGCTGAATTTATCAACACTTTTTTAGCATTAAAATATGTAGCACCTTTAGTAACTTTTAACCTCAAAATTTTATTCGAATTGCTAAAACTACTTGGAAGAAAATTATAATAGATCGAAAAATTATTACGACTTTAACACACTGTAGCTACGAAACAAAGCAGAATCGGACCTACTATGTTGATATGAAAAATAAATCTTATTTTTACATGAGGAATCTCCCTACGAGAGATGGCACATGTTTTTTGAAACACCCTGTATACGGTTTTATTTGTGTTGGTATATTATATTTTCATTAGTAGGTATTAATTGTTAATCATAATAATTTTAATTATTTATATTTGTTGTTGATAATAAGTACTGTACTTTTATGAAAAATATGGTAAGGAACTGTTATAATAATATATTTATTATAATGAAAACCATATTATTGTTAATAATACCGGCGTATAATCGAAAAAAAAACGGCGTTAGCGATGGCAGGCAATATGGCTATGAAATAAAGATGGTTGTCATTTTATATGTAAAACGAATGAAATCAATGTTCATGTTCATTTCCAAGCCAACTGGAAAGCCGTTTTATTTCCATCATACCGGTATACTATTATTCCAATATGATTAACATAGATGATTAAAATACATATATTTTTAAATGTTAGCCCTAAATGATTTCAACTGGACGCTTTCTATTTTCAATCATAGAGTATTTTTTACTTTATTATGCTTTGATTATGCCAATATGTTGAAGATTTAAGTGATTAAGCCAGAGGATAAGCTTTATTTTTTAAAGAAATAACAAACTGTATTTCAAAAATTTAGTGCGCTTTTTTGGTTGCATTTGTGATCGCATCACGGAGTCGCATACAAGCACATGAAGCGCAAAAACCAGGCAAAAACATAAAAAGGAAAAATCGTATTGGTTCCTGGACTTAATTTTATTTTTTACGCAGAATAAAATATATATTAACAATAAAAAAAAGGGTAAAGCTGGAGTCTCATGCATCCGAAATCCGATGACACGACGATCCGACGGTCCTCCTGTTGGTCGAAATATTTTGACACCAATTTTTATCCGATATTTTTAACTAATCGTCCGACGTCGTATAAAGTTAAATTTCGTTTAACTTTTGTACGATATCGTGTTTTTTAACCTCACTTTTTTTGAAAACATTGGTTTTTAAAATCAAGTTTAGTGGGAAGTGGGCAATTTCGGAATATTTGACGAGGAAGTTATTTTTATAAGTGTTTCTCCAATAATACATGGAATAATACATAATAATAATACATAGTAATTACAAGTCTAAATGTCAAAACTGTCAAATTTCGGAACGAACTTTCGGATGTATGTGACAGGCTTGTTTTATTTCACACGATAACTTCAAATTTCGGATATCGTACCACGGCACATAAAACAATCGGCACGCCTACTCTACTCAGATTCCATTGTTTAAAATTTCTATAAAATTTGACCTTGTCGGCGCCATTATGGTTTCCTAGTCAGGGCCGGATTAAAACGTATTAAAAAATTTCTCAGAAAATACGACAGGGTCGTATTAAAAAAATACTGTAATTGACTGAAACTGAATTTTATTTACAATACTTTTGTCCAAACAAATGAATCGTTAACCGCGCATACTTCTCGAAAATTAAAAATGAAAAGATCAATTAAATATTTCACTGTAGAGAATAGACAATTAAAATTAAAAAACATGCAACTAACAAAAACATGCCAGGAGTTACAAACAAGAATTAAAAAAATACCAATAAAATATTTATTGAACAATATAAAGAGGCTACGTACAAATTATGCCCATCAAGGGGCGTAGCAAATTTTATTAATATTCAAATTTCACAAATTAATAAATCCACAATTTTTTTTGAGAAACTTCTATTTTTTTCATGGCAGGAAACAAAGTAGGTACCGCATTGTATTTTATACGGTTACAAAGTGAATTGGTAAACATTTTAAATTCAAAGTGAACAGAACACAACCTGTACCTTTTCTGGGCCTTATTTATATCTTCAACCAAGTCTTCTCTATTAGATGCAATTGCCCATGTTCTTGCCCTAAAAATGTATTGTTAACTTGTTACTAATCTATTGTTATTTTCGATATACTCATTTTATTTATTTTTATAATTTTATTTAATAATTATTAATATAATTATTTTTGAATTTAATGTTGAATGTCTAGATACAACATTAAATTTTACTAAATATTTAACATTTTAATTTTGCTAATATTTTATATACATATAGGGTGAGTCTTGAATAAGTGCAAATATTTTCAGGGGTGGTATATTTCGACCCCAGGAACACGTTTATGAGTTTTTTTTTGCTAAAAAGATATTGAAAATCGTGCATTTTCTTTTAACTTCCTGTATATTTTTTTCGAAAACTTTCTAGAACTGCCTGTTCACCGCAAATTTTCCCACGGTATAATTTCTTAATCTCTGATATTACCATATAGTTACGGCTTTACTCTATGGTTGCGGCACTAAAAGGGATGCAAATACAGAAAAAAATCCGGTGGCTCTCAACTCAACATTTAAAAAAAACATTTTTTTTAAACTTAAATAACTCGGTTATTTTGGGATTTATCTGAAAAAGTAAGGAGAAAATATGTTTCTTTTATCGAGATCTGCCAGCCCTGAAAATATTTGCACTTATTTAAGACTCACCCTGTATATAAGTTTGTTAACATTTAATATAGATGCTGAACTTGTATATTTTTAATTAGATCTCTCTATTTAGCTGAATGTCCTAATATGTATACTACTGTTTTTTTAACTAAAATATGTTAAAATAATTAATCACATATGTATATACATACCTAATCGGATCTCTAGGAAACAGAAAGAAACTTTTATTGCAGTTTAGTCCTCTACTCGGGCAGTTTTTGCTGCACAACTTCGCCCAGGCATTTTAAAAACACGTAAAATTAACGATTTAAAAATGTTCAGAAAAACAAAAATAAATTATATAACACAAGAAACGAAAATAAACTAGAAAACCAAATATATAACACAATAAACAAAAATAAAACAACAACTATAAAATATAACTCAAGAAATAAACAAAATAAATTAATCCGTACGCTACTGACTCGAATCAGCCGAAAGTGTGCGCAGTCGATGAAAGAAACTACGACGACTACGACACTGGTTACTTTCTGTTGATGGAAACCCTAATGGCGGCGTGCGCGACGGTATGCGCGTAGCGTTCCCGCCAAAGAGAGTTAGCCTGCCGTGTGATTTATATGCCGTGGTCGTACCATCGGATTTCGGATGCATGAGACTCCGGCTTTAATGGTGTGGATCCCGTGGCTGACCTTGAAACGAGTTTTTGCTGCATATAGTCACTGACACTACGCATGCGCACATCTTCGATGTTGCCAGATTGCAAGTTATTTTGGAATTATTTTCAGTAGAAAACAAATATGTGCTTTTCAGTGTTTTTTGTCAATATATACCGTATGATCGAAAAAACGGCGTCCAGTTGGCTGGGAAATGACGATTGGAGACATTTACCATATAAAATGACAGCGATCTTCATTTCATAGTCATCGCTGACGCTATTTTTTTTCAATCATAGTACGCCCGGTATATTATTTATATTATTATTTTAATATTTCGCACAACACGTGAACGCTTATTATGTATTTTCATAGTCAATAAAATTAAAAAGAAATAAAACTCTAGATTCCCATAATTAATCTAATTGCTCTAGATTATTATACTATGTTTAAAAAGTGCTTTATTAAAAATTCGGGAAATTAAAAGAGATGTGTACAAGTTTTTTCTTTTTTTTTATTTTTAAATGACGTAGCTCCATGTCATGTTCATAATAGGTTTTTTTTAACATTCCATCAAAACTACGGAGGCCTTAAAAGGTCTTTTAGCCTCCGTAATTAAAATTGTAGAATCAGCTTCAGCAACATTAACTGTTACCTTGTTTAATTCTGCTTATACATATATTGCATTAATTTTTCTGCTACCTTAAGATTTCTCTATTCTTACACCTAATTTATGTGATTTTCTTAGCATATATGATTTATAAACCATATTTTTCCTAATGGAAGGATGGAATAGGATATGCAAAATTAAGATATTTTAACATTTATTTCCCAGACAAAGCATAATATAGTATTAAGATTAAGACATAACAAATATTATAAGAAAGATCTTAATATAAATCACAAACTAACTAAGTCTTAATTTGGTCTTGTGTAAACATAGGTATAAAACTAATAAGATCGAAACTCAACCTTCACCATATTGTCAAGATTTGGTAATAGGAAACAAGAAATTACAGTAAATTAAGAAAAGAATATCAAAGTACACGATATTAAATACTGTAATGTATTCTACGACAGAAACCATCTCTCTTCTAATGAGAAAAAGATAAAACATAAAGCTTATTTTAGTCTTATCACCACACTCTTCGATAAAATATATGTCTAAAATTGCTATTAATCCACTAACTTGATATTTTTAAGAAATTATGATACAAACATTATAATCAAAGTATATTATATTAGTAACATTATAGGTATATAAAATGTTACCTCTATCTCCCATTGACGTGTATTGTTCTATATAAGACTCGTCATGGTAGTACTTCAAAACATCGAATACATATAAGCAAAACTATTGTTACCTGTAAATAACTAGAAATTAAATAACTTGAAAGAAATAAAATAATTCTAATAAGTTAGTTTAAAACCATTAAGAAAAAATCCGTAAATGATAATTACATAAAAGTTATCATTATTAGAATTTTATTAATTCATAATACTTTCTTTTCACAATCTTCATTATCCTTCTTACCTTAATTTTGGATATCAAGATAAATCTGAAGTTATAAAATTAATTATAGAATTTGTATTAGGTATTAACACTGAAAAAAAAATTTTCAACTGCAAATAATTCGAAAATAAACTGCAATTTGGCAACATCGACGATGTGCGCTTGCGTAGTATCGACGATCAAATGCAGCAAATATGGGCTTCAAGGTCAGCCACCGGATCCACACCTTTACCAAAAAAAGAAACATAATGAGTAAATGAAAATATTTTTTTACACTGTAATAATAATATACATTACGTAAGTTTTTAGCCTTTTCCTAATTACTACGCTAAAACAATTTTATGACACGTAAAAAACTAGCTTTTTCCGTTGTTTTTTTTTTCGCCCATCTCTATATTCATATTAATAATTAATTATATGTATATGATCTAGTGGTATTTCTTATATGCCGAGGTATTTCCAAGAGGAAGTAATACATATACAGATATCTGAATGTTTGTTATAATTACCAGTCGTCTTTGTTAATAAAGGAAAAGTTAATTTCTCTTAAAAAAAATATTTTTTTCTCGGTTTTTAAAACATCGATTTTGGATTAAAATTGAATTAATCATTCCTATGCCCCGCCTCGTCCTCGCCCCTCTCCTCGATAGAGTATCGAATACCCCTCCCTATAATGGCCGTCATTTCAGTCGGTTGTCATTTGTCAACTTGTCACTTCGTGTTCGTCCGCTTAACCTAGCAGTTGCGTTTACTTTTCGAGTTAATTTTTTATTGTGTTTGAGGTGCATTGTGAAGAAATTGGGTTTAAAATGGCATATCTGTCACGTAGAGAAATTGAAGATTTAAGACCACTAGTAGAAAAGGCCGTTTATAAAACATTGAATGGTAGTGATTCTTCAGTGTTCAGAGCGGCAATTGATTGTCTTACTAACGGCTACGACAAGAGGAAAATATCTGATAAATTAGGTGAATATATTGATAATAAGAAGGCAACAAAACTAGCAGAGAGAATACAATACCTATTAGATGATATTGAATCTAATAGAAAATCCAAAAAGCGGTCATATGATGATGATCGAGATAGAGATTCTAAGAAGACCAAGTTAAGTTCCTCTAAAAGAGATGATGGCAGAGAAAGTGAACGAGAACGTGAAAGAGATAAATTTGATAGGCACAGTAAACCAAGACATCTTTCTGATAAAGATGGAATAATTAGAAATTCTAAAATGGAACCCTTACCTCCACCAAGTAAAAATAATATTAGTCTTGGCAGCTTAAAAATACCTCAAGCTAGTATCTATGGAATTCCTTCTGGCTTATTAAACAAGGGCGATGCTGAAAAGGCCAGGAAAATTGCACAGTTGCAGGTAATGTTTTTAGATACCTACTTATATATAATTTTATTTTTTTACATTATATTTGCATTTTTAGGCTCAGATCAAAAGTAAACTTTCTACTGGAATCTTGGGAAACGCAATACAAATTCCAGTTCAGCCTAATAAGCCACAACCCCTTATTTTGGATGAGGATGGTCGCACCGTTGATAAATCAGGTAAAGCGATTCAACTTACACATGTAGCACCCACACTAAAAGCAAATTTAAGAGCGTTGAAGCGCGAACAATACAGAGAGAAAACTGATAAAAGGGATGAAGATAATGCAGAAACTAGATTTCTGGACCCAAGAATTGGGATAAAGCCTGCCTTGAGAAATAAAAGAGCACTTAGGTTTCACGAGCCTGGGAAATTCCAACAGCTAGCTGAGCGTCTTCGTATGAAGGTATGTAGTGTAGTTTGACAAATAAAATTTTATAAAAAAAGTAAACATAAGTAAAATTATTATATGTAAATTTATTTATAATTTTTAGAATCAGTTGGAGAAATTACAGAATGAAATATCCGAAATAGCTAAGAAAACAGGTATATCTTCAGCCACAAAATTAGCACTTATTGCAAAATCCGAGGGAGTCAGTGATGATGTACCTGATATGGAGTGGTGGGATTCTGTTATTTTAGAAGACAATTTAGATACTTTAACCAGTGATGGCAAAATCGCCATTAAAGATAATATCGTCAATAACCTAGTGGAACATCCAACTCAAATGAGGTGTCCTAGTAAGTATTTTTTACCCTCGAGGCTTTTAAAAACCACAGTTGAAATTAGATTTTAGCAGATTGGTTTTTCGTTATTTCAGATGATGATAAGATAATAATTTTTCAGCTGATCCAATTAAGCCTGTGTATATGCCTGTATTTTTGACACAAAAGGAGAGAAAGAAGTTAAGACGCCAGACTAGGAGGGAAATGTGGAAAGAAGAACAGGAAAAAATTAGACTTGGTTTAGTACCTCCCCCTGAACCTAAACTACGTATTTCAAATCTCATGAGGGCTTTAGGTACTGAAGCAGTGCAGGACCCTACAAAAATTGAAGCACATGTTAGGTCAGTATTTGTATTTCTATATTTTTTCTCTAACTTGCTTTGCAAAATATTTATTTTTCCTGACTAGTTTACACACTGATTTTCAACTAAAACTGAATTAATAAGTACTCGTTAAATTGAAGCAAATTATGAATTCTTATACAGATAACTTTTTGGAGCTTGGGAAATAATTTAAAATTTTTTGATTAATTGTTCATATTTTAATGATGATATTGTGTTTACAGTGTGTTTTTTGTGAACTTTTCATTCAGATCTGTAAAATATACATAGATATCTGTTATAATTAACGCCAATTAGCCGATTTTTGTTTATTTGGTTATTGTTGCATTAATAACTACTTATAACTAAAACGTACTTTATAGCAAGTAATAAGAACTGAGAATTTGCTTTATTTTGGTGAATTCATAAATGTAATAATTAAAAACGAAATAATTTTTATTTGTATTTAATAGACTGGTTACTAAAAATCCAAAAAAATTATATTGTTTACACAATAAATGCATCAGTTCAGAATTTTTATAGGGAACTAGACTAATAATCAGTTATTTATAAAATATTTCCTTTTAGAGAGCAAATGGCAAAAAGACAGAAAGCACACGAAGATGCTAACGCAGCGCGTAAGCTAACGTCGGAACAAAAAAGGGACAAGAAGGTTAAGAAATTAAAGGAAGATACATCTTTAGGTGTCCACGTGTCTATTTATAGAATTCATCATTTGCACGAGTTGGCCTCGAAGAAGTTTAAAGTTGAGACTAATGCGAAACAGCTTTTTATGACTGGATGTGTTGTATTATATCCAGATTGTTGCGTTGTAGTGGCAGAAGGAGGACCCAAACAACAAAAGAGATATAAAAGGTAATAATATTTCCATTTTTTTTTAAATATAAGAATCCAGGTTTTAATAATCTCAATATAAATTTCACAAAAATTCAATAAATAAATTTGATGGCTCTATAAATTCAATAATCTGTTCTAAAAAGAAAAAATCTTGTTTAGAAATTTTGCTTCAAGATGATAATCGAGGTTATGTATACAGAATATAGGCTAGATTGAACCTAATAAAAATTTTATATCTTTATTAGATACTTTTTCTCTGTTTTTTCGTATAATAATATTATTAAGGAAACACAAAATTTACAGGGTGAGTGTTTAATAAGTGCGAATATTTTCAGGGCATCATGGTAGATCTCGATAAAAGAAACATATTTTGCCCTTACCGTTTTTCAAATAATTCCAAAATACCCAATTTATTTTATTTTGAAAATTAAAAAATAATTTTTGTTTAAATTTTGAGAACCACTGGATCATTTCTGGGGTTTATTTCTTGTAAATTAAATCTACTACCTCTCTTTCCATATTATCAAAAAATTATATTTTTAAACTAAAAACCGAGTTAAAATCAGTTCCAAAAAATTCCAAAAATCTCCAAAAAATTAAAAAAAAATCGAAGTTTCACAATTTTAATTTAACAAAAAACTCAGACGTGTTTCTAGGGTCGTAATATACTATCCCTAAAAATATTGGCACATATCTAAGAGTTACACAGTATAATTGAAATAAGCAAGAATAGTATTTAAAGTGAAATCTTAATTTTTTTCTAATTTGTTTAAAAACTCCATTTGGTGTAAACCACTAATACGCCTATATTTTTTATAGAATAAGAATAAATTTTGATTCATCCTATATATAATTCTACTTTTTACAGGTTGATGTTAAATCGAATCAAATGGGAGGAAGATTTTGTGAAAGACCCAGATGGCAAAGAAGTGCCAAACAAATGCGTTCTTGTGTGGGAAGGCTCTGCTAAACAAAGGAACTTTGGCGAAATGAAATTTAAAGTTTGTCCTACCGAAAGATTAGCAAGAGAACACTTTAAGAAACACAAAGTTGAACATTATTGGGACTTAGCTTACAGTGGCGCCGTTTTGGAACAAGCAAACGATTTGGTTGAATAGATGATAAAATAAGTTGTATATTAGCTCTATTTTCTAATTAGGATTTTATTTTTTAAAATCGTCACTCTAATAAATTTGTCTGTAATTATTTTATAAACTAATCTAAAGTAAAACAGATTGAATAATAAAATGACATATAGGTGATTGAATAATTATTGTAAAGTTATGTTGAAACAAACATAATATTATATTTATTACTATTGACACATGTAATTTTGAATAAAGTATCTTTACTTTTTAAATAAAATTATGTTTTAAATTTACATTTTTATTTTATAAAACCTAGATAATCCTTTTCCTTAGATTCAAGGAATATACCGAGAAAATTGCAATGTTGCTAAAAGAAAACCGAGTCTCTGACTGAGTTGGAAACAATCTTACTCTGAGGAAACAAAACAGATTACAGCCAAAGTTACAGCAGATGCTTCTTATCTACGTACCTAGATTTAATATAAGTTAGTCTGTGGTACATATCTCTAATATACCATCCATACCATCTAATATACAGGATTTTATTATTATATATGTCACTGTAAATGTCCGAAATGCGGTAAAACCTCTTGGTAAAAGCCAGGAATAAGTATATATATAAGTCCGAAATGGAAGCAAAATATAGAAGTTTTCGAGCTTTTACCACTTTACCATTTCCGACATTTACAGCAACATATACATATTTCTTCTTAGTTTTGAATTCTACATGATTTTTTTAATAGTTCTGGTCTAACTGAATTTGTACGTTTCTAGTTTTGATATAAAAAAAATAAAATGGAGAAAAAGCGCTGTAATAATTTCACAAAAGATGAAATGAGGTCCAGAATAAAAAGGAAGAGGGTATATAAAATGGAACCGGTTTCTACAAAATTACAAAGATAACGTAATGGGGGTATTGATGAGAAACTAGCAAGAAAAAAAATCAATTTATCGAATTTCAAATGAACATAATGACGGAGGAGTCCAGAGAAAGAAGAAAAGTTGAAGAAAATTCACTGTTTTACTGGTTGCATAATTTTGACCCTAAAATTTATTAGAGGTACAGATTGGAAAAGCTAAATAGTCAAAATTAATTACTCAAAACTCAAAAAATAATTAACATATCGAAATGCCATTAGGCCATTCAGCAGGGAATTTAATTCCGTGTGCAAAATTTTTATGCATTTTAAACAAATGGCAGGTATGACATTGTTCAATAATACTTTTGACTTGCTTTTTGATGCGCTTAAATAATTAATATCTTAAATAACAAAACAAAAAACAGATCGACAGCTTTATTATATATTTTATTTAACAAAATATATTTATGCATTCAAATCATTGATTTAGTCTGCAGACTTATTTGGTACCTGAAAATAAAAAAGACATATTCATATTGATATTTCCATTTATATTCTAACTTACTTCATTCACAAAGTTCAATTCTTTAGTATGCAGCAAACTGACATAAACAGGGGCGGATACAGGAATTTATTTTAGAGGGGGCCCAAATAAAAAAATTATGTAGAATATGCTTTTTAGGGTGCCATTTTTAACCCAAAAGGCTAATATTTAACCCAATTTACAGATTTTAGGGGGGGCCCGGGCCCCATGGTCCCCCCTCTGTATCCGCTACAGGACATTAAATAGGCTATTGTATAATGGACATAAATAGGCTATATCAGTGGTTCCACTTCTGTAAAAAAATAATTTATTATAAAAAAATGCCATTACTTAAAAAATCCTACACACTTAAGTATCCAATACAATGAATGTCCCAATATACATATATGACTTCCGTGACTTCTGCACACAGCGAATGAAGATTGGAATGAACACTAATTTCCATATTATGTGTCCATATTTTCATATTTATTAAGTTACCATTTGCACAAGTTTCTTCTTAAGGCCCTAAGAGAATAAAATAAAAATGTAAACAACATACATAAATAATATTCTCTAATATAAATTACCCAGTGATTACAGTATACAAAGTTCTTCATGAAATCAATCAAACAGTAGAGTACCTGTTGAAAGCAAAAACTGTATTAAATTGATGCCTTAAATTAATATAGATTTGTTTGTAAAAAAAGACAAGCTGTGTATTTTCTTCAAACTAATTAAATTTAAAATAATTAATGATATATTAAAAATAGAAAATATCAGATTAATTATATTCCAGACCAAAAAATATTTATTAAACTGATAGATATTTAGTAACGAAAACCATGTAAAAAATAATTTTTAGTTTCAAAAAAAAAAAATCAATAATTATTTAAAAATGTGGAGAATAGTGTTTATTAAAATTATATGTATTCTATTTCTTTTATGATAGAGAAAATTCAAACATTTATACAATTCTTTATGGATTCCCAATAATAATTTATAATTTTCCAAAGTCAACGACAATGGCTTGCCAACATAATTTTATGGTATTTATGATTTATTATTTCACTGACTTAATAGAATAATTAATTATGTAAAGACTGTTCAGCCCTCGTTCACCGGTACGTCATCATTATATGTCATATGAGTTTTAGGGTGTGTCTGAGATCTGAGATCAGTTCATATGATGTTTTAACAAGTATATGTTCCTATATTAATGATTGAGCGAGTTCTGTTTTTACGATCCCTTTAGTTCCAATCCTTTGGACTGTTGAAATTCCTGTTTCTGAAGCATCAGCAACTCGCTATATTATTTAAAAACGCTAACAATTTGTATTTTACATAGGAATATTACACACTTGCATTGTATTTACTTCATATACGGCGTCCACGGGCAAGAATGTTCTACCAGCGTCTCTTTCTCGAGGAAAATAATTTATAAGAGTTCTTATTTTGATTACATCTTTAATGCATTTTTGCAATAAAAAAATTGTGTGTGCACCATATGCGCATATTTGAAGTGAAACTTCTTACTTCCGTTTGTCTGTCTGTACGTCTGAGGACTCCATTCGGGTACCTCTATCCATGTGTCTAGTTTGGTTCCAATCGACCCATAATTAAGAATAATCCTGACGATTTCGTCCATTTAGAGGCATCGGTTCGAAACATTAACCTAACCTAACCCAACGAAACGTCGAGGGTGTCATTCCTGTAGCCCATCCTCAATTATGGACAAATCGTTAGTCCCACCCTGATGAAGATGTAAACGAAACGCCGTATCCAACTTTGCAGGATGGGACCGTGTACGCCGCCGCTCACGAGCCTACCCACCAAGACTGGTCGCGATCGGACGACATCGACTTTTGAAGTTTCTTATGTCAAAACTAACTGTCACAGTGACACAAGTCATACAAGGTTAAGTTGGCTTTGGTCCAATCTATCGACATACCAAATTTCATTGAAATCGGAAAAATTTTTGATTTGATTCATTGATGATGGGGTTTCGTAGTGCACGAAACGTCGTCGAAATATCATGAAAAGATGGGGTTATTTGAGCCTCATCTACATTCCGAGTTTCAGCCTCCTAGTTTACATAGGGTCCGAGCAGTGGCGTGCATTACATATAGACAAAAAAGCATTGCCTACCCTTCCATTTATTCAAGACAGACGCAAAATAAAAATATATTTATCTGATCAATTTTCATTATATATCTACTTACAAATCCTACAATGCGACCTACATTGTTTTATTTTTCTAAATAGTAAGTTAGTATTGTGTTTAATACGGTTGCAAAGCCGGAAACATCATACAAAACAAACGCCACCTGTTCAACGTCTTATTATTACCTAAAAAACGCATCCCATTATTCGAAATCGAACGCACGGCCGCAACTTAACATTACATGGATATGGACAAGCAAAAGCAGTGCGTTACCGCAGCACGGATGCATCCAATGTCTCGATGATTGCCAGTTCCGATGTTATTACAGAACTATGTAAGAAACAGTCCATGTTATTTGATACGATCAATTTTAAATAACTGTGTTTTAGAAAGATTTGTATTATGCAGCATATTAGAAATTTACTTGTCTGTCATCTGTATTTGTTTCCAAATGATTTCATTTATTATTTTATTTGACTGTAAAATCATTTTTTAGGCAGTGACAATTGGCAATCTGGCAATATTGTATACGGTTATTGTTTTAGCTAATTCGCCAGTCGTTGAGTCGCCTATCGGGAAGAAATAATGATTGAATGATAGACAGATTATTCGTTTTGCATCTATAAATAACTAAATTTATTTGCTGTTATTTGAATTTTCTTTTGTTTGAGTTTAAAGTTAAAATACGTTAGACAGTAAACATAAATATTATGTAATACATAGTTTTTTTCTTAGTTTTTTCATATTTTTGATTCTGTTGCCTACCTTACTGTAAATGGTACTGCACGCCACTGGGCCCGAGATACGACACTCCAAAGACCCATTAAATCGGACGATTTTTTGTCATTAATTAACAGTAACCGCGGTGTTACGCCGCGCCGCTCCGTAGTAACCTCCGATCGTTACCACTTTTCCTGACGTTAGCTCGTGTGTCACGGCTTTGAATTTTTACTCCCAAAGCGCGTAAAGAAGTTTCACTTCAAAAATTTGTATTTTGTTTGACAGCAACAATGGACTTTTAATTTTGCCATTGATCGATGTCCGTCAATAAAATTATAACCCCAAATCAAATGACAATGACAATTATTAAATGTCCGTCACGTCCCGTTAATTCGCCGCCAAAACCGACGTTGCCAAATTTACCACTTATAAAATAACTTATAAAAATAAACTTGTAAAAAACAGATTAACCTCACAAAGAAGTTGAAACCAGCGCAATCAAACCTCTTTCGTGCAACTTTGTGCATGTAGCCGTACCGTGCAACTTTACAACCCACAGTTCTGTACGCGCATAAATAAACAGTCCACTCCAACTTTTTAGCGTTTTCTTATTGAATTCGATAATTATTCTTCAATTTCAATTAACATCTATATGTACTTGATATGTGATATACGTCGATACTAGTTTTGTATCTTTTGTTAACATTTTAGTACGTTTTTTTCGTAATTAGTTAGGATGATACACCATAGGCGTAGTCAAAACAATTATCAAAAAATATAAAAATTGCTTCAAACAGCTAGGTTAAGAAAAATATGTGCCACGGCACTGTTTGATGCCAGCGTCACAATTTGCTGTCGGGTGTTATTTGTCCTTGGATTCTTTAGTCATTGCTTTCCGCCGTTCGACCAAGGACAAATACACATGCGCATCTATGCCGTTTCTCCAATATGGCGACCGCCTGTAAAGTTCGGCAAAATTGGTTAGGCGGCGAATTAAGGAATCAAATGTCCGTCAATAAAATTGTAACCCCAAATCAAATGACAATGACAATTACTAAAAAGGATATGCAGTAATGCCGTCACCAATCTCTTTCATCTGGTTGTCAAGTGATTGAGAGAGTTCGACAATATATGACATGACGGTGAACGATGGCCGAACATTTTTAAATACGAAACAGAAAGTATTATTTATTTTTTATTACACTTCCAACACTACTGTGACGTATTCAAATAATGGTTTAGCTACTTTACATTCAGCTGATACTTCTTTAATTAAACTTGTTCTTGCTGAATTGAATGGAAAGTAGTTATAACTTTTCTTTAATAATGCAATATTACAAACGGTAATAAAATAATACAGATACTGTTCTAATAATATTATCCAGAAGTAATCGACAGTTATCCGTAAAAAAGTACGGTGATTTATTTATTTAGAAATTAAATAAACTTGGTTTCTTTTCATTAAAAATTTACAGATGCGTTTATAGGTTTATTTAATAGTTTAATGTACTTACGGTATTTTAACAGATTTTTCTCCATTTCAGAACATAATGCAAGTCTTGAAATCCGGTAGAGAACCCCAAGGTTCTAAAACTATTAAAATCTTCTTTTATTTAGGAAATTCCATGAAAGTGGACTGGGCAATATACGAAGTAGATATCAAATACTGCAAAATCCTAGACATAATTCCTTTGGTTGTCTTTATAGATTTTAGGAAAAATTAAGAACATTTCTTAAACCAACAGTTTGAAGAAATGGTGATGAAAGTATTGAAATTGTTCTTCGATCAATCCTATAGAGATTTTGAAAAAAAAAATTTAAGAACGAAATAGTTGGTCGCCTCAAACCCACTACTTGATAAAATTGGATACATTTACAAAAATACTTTACTAATTTTCCATTAAATAAAAGTGATGATGAATATCGAAATGTATCAATAAATTTCATTGAAACACAAATTTGTCAAATTGATAAAATAATACAAAATTAAAGAATCAGGAACAGAATATTCAGTTGATTTTCCAACAAACGTATGTTTATATTAGTTAGTACATCTCACGAACAATCAATATGAAAACACAGAGTTTTATTTTATAGAAGTATAAAAAAACGATTATTTTTCGAAGTATAGATGCTTCTTCATCATCATTGCTTTAAACCAGCAAATATACAACTATGGTAAGTATTTAAGGTGTTTCTCGTTGTATCTTTTCCTTTGAAAATATATACGATTTTTACAAAAAGTTTTGTTTGGTCCAAATTAACGCCAATCGATAAAGAAAGCTCGCAAAAGTCTTCATCTCGAAAAAGAAGAAGTAGTATGGATTTTTTTCTTCACATCTTCATGGAAACAGGTGTCCTGGCTTCTTGGATGTTAATCATCTGGTACAAGTATAATATGGCTTCTATTTCGACTATTTCATTATTGTCACGTATTTTTTAGTAGTTGTCAACTCGTAGATGGAAATATTCAAAGAATATTTGCTAGTTAGAATAATTAAAAAATATAAACACACTTCAAAAACTGCCCATAATTTACTTTTGAATGCATTATAAAATTCCAGTGCATGTCTAGCAGCCCAATGATTTTTATAATATATAAGTTATCTTATGATATACTGAAAGTTTTTGAATCAAGTACAGTAGAACTTCGATAGTTCGGACTCATATCGGAACAGCCACCGCCGAATTAATGATGTATCCGGATTACTGGAGGAATATTTTTATAATTTTATTGTTTCATAACCAACTCGAACTTAA